GAGAGAGAGAGAGAGAGAGAGAGAGAGAGAGAGAGAGAGAGAGAGGTGCTGTGCACATTTGTACTTGTACATGGCGAGGCCAGCAGTCAATCACTATCCACCTTATTTTTTGAGACCCTGTCTCAAAAAAAAAAATCCTAAAAAATGGGAGCTGGAGAGATGGCTGTTGTTCAAACTGTCTCATGTCAGGAGGACCACACATCTAGATCTGATCTGTTATTACTTCACAAGTGGGTAAAGTGCTTGCCATGCAAGCATGAGGACCTCAGTTTGGATCCTCAGCACCCACATAAAAGCCGATGCAGCAGCAGAGAACACCGTAACCCCGGTACTCAGGGTGGGTGGTAGAGATAGGAGGATTCCTGGAGCCCATTGGCCAGCCAGTCTAGCCCAATAGGGGAGTTCCAGGTTCAATGTGAGATCCTATTTCAAAAATGAGGCAAACAAAACAAAATTAAGATAGAAAGTGTTGAGGAAGACACTTGAAACCAACCTCTGGCCTCCACACATACATACTACATGTACACCCACATGCACACTTGTAAACAATCATCAATACACACATACAGCACATATACCCCCCATTATGATGAAAAAATTCACTTATATGTCCTAGTAGTTAGTAAGGAATAAATACTTTAGTACTAAATCAATAAACAGTAAATAAATAATATACCATCTGAGAAATGGGGGTAGAAAATGGGCAGTTCGTAGATGAAGAAACAGAAAGACCAGGGATCATCATAAAGAGATGTGCAAATTTTAAACTTCGATGAGGTACAATTCCTATTTATCACTTGGGCAAAGTTCAAAAAGCTTATTAGCACCCTGCTCCTGGGCTCTGGAAACAGGTCCTTCTCCACACCACTGGTTCAGAGGATGGAAAGGTGTAAATTCTGTGACTATGAGGCCCAATAGCCATCAACACTACAGATGCGCATGCTCCTTCACCCAGCGATTCCATTTTGATGAACCTGCAAAATGTCTGTGCTTGAGGTTATTCATCAAGGGGTGATTTTAATAGCAAAGGCGGACACTCTGTCCATCACCAGGGAGCTGGTGAACGCACTTGTCTTAGCCACACAGTGGGATTTCTCCCAGCTATGAAACAATGAAGAAACAGCCAATACACTTTGTCATAATACAATTACCCTGGGACAATTCCTTCTTTGTTGCTTCCCCTCTGTTCCTCCTGTTCTTAAATTTAACGAAGTGAATACTACTTACTCCTATGTTTCAGATCCTGTTTGAAGAGCTTTATGATTAACTTGTTTAATCATTGAGATAACTCTAATATGATTTTTACAAATGGGGAAACTGAGGCAGGTATCAATGAAATGATTTCCCTCAAGTCCTACAGGTGACGTGATAAAACCATGATTCAAACTCAGGAAGCCTGTTGTAGAATCTGTACA